TCTAAGACAAGATTCTCTACTAAAAATGCAAATGCATCAAGATTGGCATGCCTTGTGGTCCAGGATGTTTATGCCAATTCTGTAAAAACCCTTAAAATGGTATGCAAATAATCTTATGTTTGGTCTGGACAGATCAGGCTAGTGCACAGTATGATGAGAGACTAGAAGAAGAGGCACATAATGAAAAAAGATGAGGACAGTAATATACTTGAATATAGTGACAGTTCAGATGACTATATTGAAGGTATACACATCAAGAGTGACATAATTACACTTCTAACTTGTAGATCCAGAAGATGAAGATTATGGATTAGTTTAATGGACATAGACAGCAAATCTACACATCTATTACTTATTAACACACAGAGACAGCACAACACTATGCATAATTCCATGGGACAATTTTCCTTTGGTTCCAATGTCATTTCTAAAAAAGGGGTCATAACCCACACTGCATACTATTTACTAAGCTTAATAGTTAAGTTGCATTCCTTATGGTTTAAAAGAAATAGCTCGTCAAGAAAACATTTTGTATGCCATGTTTTCTTCATGTCAACTGCCTTACAAGATGCACTGCACTCAAATGCTTTTTATAATGGTAAAAAATAAAATACAATAAAGTATAAAACCGTTTTAAATAGTATAAGCAAAAATTATACCTGCAAATGTCTTATGTCTATCAATATGCCTTCTTGACTTTGAGCAAAGCAATTTCTACAAATGTCAGCCATTTTGACAAAAACGTCACATCCGGTAGAAATAGAAAATCAATTTTGGCTGCCCGACTGAAAGGTACCGTTTGCCTTTGAGGTTTATGCACCAAATTGTAAAGCAAGCATTGCTTGTTCCAGTCGCGAAGGTTTTACAGACTGGTGCAAGCCTTTATTAGGGAGTCACGTTAGTTCTATTATTGAAGCCAGAGGATATTTTGATGAACCCTTTAAAGAATTGCAGAAGCATTTAGATGCATGTGCATAACTGTCCGAATAAGCATTATATTATATGATAATCCAAACGTAATGGTCCTTTTTAAAAAAGATGAATGTAATGCTGTAAAATATTTAAAATATTCAGAAATTGTGAAATGATAGGCCATCAATTGTGTGTAGTTGTAATGATACGGAATGTAAACTTATGCTGCATATTTTGCGCAATGCATCTGTTCTTTATCCTTCATTGCAACACATTATGAAACACTTTCATGTAGCTAGAAATGTTCATATACCAATAGATATTGTTGATTCTTCCCTTGCTGATGGTGATATAGCACAATAATTGTTAATATAAAGATAAGTTAAGAAGACGAGACTGAATTTAATGTCTATTCCACTATTAATTGCGGTGAAAATGACCAATTTAGAATACCAAATTTTGATACTGTACTTTATTTTCTGTATTCAGATGCTATTGACCAATGTAAGAAAGCTTTGTCTGATCAGGCTTGCTTTCGCTGTAAAAGGCTGTTACTCTTGCATTGCAAGTGTATTTTTTTTATTTTTGATTTGTTTCAATTAAAATTATGTAACTTTTTTATACTTAATTATTAAAGATTCATTAATTTACTTCATGATGCTGTCATGGAAGTGTTAAAATATAAAAGTAAATTATTTGTTATTAATTGACAAATATTTGTGGCCCAATATGAAAAAACAAGGCTATATGCTCCAAAGTTCAAAATTGAAAGTAATGCTCTTCTGAATAATTAAGCACAGTTTTTAATTCCTTTTGGATTTTGTTCCATGTCACGACACTTCTGGTGCTGAGTTATCATTATTTATGCAAAAGAAAGTATTCACAGATGCAATTGATTTTTAGCCATTTTTATCTTAATGTTTTGCATTATTTAAATGGTGTACAACCTCTGTCAATTACCTCTTTTAACTTATTTATGATGAAACTTGGTATCAAATGAAAGGAAATTCTAAATACAATGCATTCTTAATGAAATATCAGTTTTGATAAGGTACCACTGTCAGAACATTGAGAAGCCATATTTTTAATTTAAAATTCACTGGATTTCTTATCAGGTCACAATTTTTAAAATCACAATGAACTATTCTTGTTTGTTCCATGTAGACCATAAAGCTTGATGTGAAGTTCAATGAATCACAGATATTCAAAGAAAAGTACTTAACAGTGGGCAATAGTACTAACAGGTTTACGAAGTACACAATCACCACTATTTGTGCTTTCTTTTACCACGGCAAGAATAGACAGTGCCTGCTCAGCATTTATTTTAAATTTACTTTAGTGATTATCCAAACAAAATGCATTTCAGCCTAATAGTTATGTTACATACTGCTTAACTTGAAAAGCTGACAAAAAAATTGCAGCTCCCAGTTAGAGAAAAAAATTGGTGACAAATCTACTCCAAATTAAATGGGCTGGGAATACAAGAGTGAAGAAAATTTTGTCACTGAAGCTAAAAATTTAGATAACAAAGTTTAGAATATCCGATTAGGTTACATTAGAGGGAATGATCTTACAGCATTAAGTAAACTTGACTACTAAGGAAGCAGCTATGTAGACGGGCTGGACGGCATCCCCAAATCTGTAGAAAAGATGCCGTGACAATTTCGTCAACCCTAATTTGGAATACTGAGCAACCTATGATCTGGAAGTATACTAGCTAGTAGAGTAAATCTGTGACGGTCTGAATACAGTCCTGAAGTTGCGGCCATGGTAGAGTACCTCCTAAGAGAGTGGTGAGTCTGTTCTTGCAGTTATTGCAAAACAGGAAGGGCTGTTTTTTTGTATAATAACCTATTGCTTTATGCCATAGTTTCACTTATTGTAAAATTAATATTGTATTGTTGCACGCACGTGGACTAACGGTGAGTCTTGTGGTTAATTTGTTGTTTTAGTGTTAAGTAAACTGCCCACCTTCTCTGTCTGAGAATTCATTTTTTGTCTAACAATGGTGGATCTTGCTGCTCGGTATGAAGAGAACTTGATGTGGGCATTGTGCCATAGCCATTCAAAGAGTAAAAGAGGTGTCTGATCTCTTTGCTTCATCCCCTGGGCCTGATCAAATCAAACTTGGGCAATTGAAGCGTGGCCTTCAGGATACTGTTCATTCTTTTCAGAAATTTGATCAACAAATTTTGCCTCTTATTCATCCAGGAGTTTTGGATTAAAGAGATTGAAAATTCAGGGCGAACAAAAGATGAGCAGTTCCTTCAAATGTCTACTGTGGATTGTGCTCTATCAACATTGCCACTCCTACCTCCTGTCAGACCTCCTTTTGTTTCTCCCAAACTGCCTAAGCTGACATTAAACTCTTTCCATGGGAGTCTAGTTGCATGGACCCCATTTCAGGATTCCTTCAAATCGGCCATTGATGATAATCCCAGCATGGCAACCATTGATAAATTTTCTTATTGCAGTCTCTATTGGAAGGTAAGCCATCCAAGGAAAGTATTGCAGGCCTTGCCCTTACTGATACCAACTTTTCTACTGCAGTTGACTTATTGGAGAAGAGATTTGGCAAAAAGGAGAGAATCACTGCAGCTCATATGGACGTACTGATGAGCCTTGATGCAGTTTCTTCTGATCATCACATTTTTGAGCTTCGTTGCCTGTATGACAACATTGTGAGTACTTGTTGACTCTTATGGAGCATTGCTGGCTCCTGTGTTCATAAAGAAGCTTCAATCTGATCTAAGACTTACTATTGCCCGAAAGGTTCCAGCAGGTGATTGGAACATGACAAGGATACTGGAAGTGTTATTAGCAGAGGTTGAAGCTAGAGGAGGGCCTCTATACCTAAGACGAAACAAAGTAGTTCGACACCTAAGCGTGGAAAGGATTTTTCCACAGCTGCCACTTTTACTGGAGGTAGCCAGAGTGGTGGCTGCTTTTGCCAGCAAAAAGACCACACAGCTGCCCAGTGTTTTAAAGTCATTGGAGTTGATGTGATGAGAGGAAACAAATGATTATAGAGCAGGGCAGATGCTTTGTTTGCCTCTGTGCAGGACACATTAGTAAGCACTGTCGCTCTTTGATGAGCTGTGCTACGTGTAAAGGGAGACATCACTGTAGTGCTAGTATGAGGATCTCAAAGCCTAAATCGGCCCAGAGGCTTCCTACTGCTAGACATGGTGCTTCTCACATTCATCTAAGGGGCCTAATCAAGAGACCCCTCCATTTGAAGGATGAATTGCGAGTGCCACCTTCTATACTTGTTTGAGAGAGTCTACTGTCTTACAAGTGGCACACATCATTGCTCTCAATCTCAATTAACCTGGCAATAGAATGTCTTCACTCTTCATATCCTATTTGACAGTAGGAGCCAGTGCTCATATATTTCTCGAAGTACATGCCCGAGGTTGGGATTGCCGTCTCTGGGTACTAAATTGGTCTCCTATAATAACCTTTGGGTCTAGAATGGAGTGTCGTACAGAATGTAATGTTGTAAAACTGGGTCTTGAGCTTAAGAATTATGCTAATCTGGAACATAAGCTGTTCACAGTTAGCCACATTTGGAATAATTTAATTTGGAATTTTTATAATAATAATTTGGAGTTTTCTATTTCATTGGATCATTGCAAGCAGATAAAGCCAGGCATCCTAATTGGATCTGACCAGTATTGGTCTCTACTTACAGGTTAGATAATGAAGAGTAACAATGGGCCTGTTGCTCTAAACTCATACCTTGGCTGGATTTATCTACTACTGCTGCTGTGAAACAGTCTAGTCCATGGAGTGCTACTATAATCACCCATGTTGTAAGGGTTGACCGTGTCCTTGAAAACATGAGTCTAGAACGTGGATTACATTCATTTTGGGAGCTAGAATCTTTAGAAATTTAGGCAGATGAGCATACTCAATTTATTGATCTAATGAAGTTTGGTAAGTGTAAGTATGTTGTTTCTCTGCCTTGGAAAGACTCTCTGATAACTATCAGCTTTGTTTACGTTGATTGAATGGTTTGTTAAAGCGCCTGAAGAGCTCTCAAGTTATTAAGGAGATATGACGACATTATTTAAGTGCAACTTGCGATGGGAATTATTGTCCCCGTTGAGAACTCTGAAGAATGCAGTGTGGCTCGTATATACTATTTACCGCATCATTGTGTCATGAGGCAGGACAAGTCTACTACAAAATTGAGAATTGTATACAGTGGCTCTGCTAAGATGAACCGTCCATCATTGAATATTTGCCTCCATATAGGACCTTTATTGCATGAAAAGGTTTTTGACATCCTTTTGCAATTTAGGACACGGCTTATTGCTATTGTGGCTGATGTAGAGAAAACCTTTCTTATGATTCAGGTGGCAGAAGTAAATCGAGATGTTTTGCGTCATCTGTGGTATAAAGATGTTTCTTGTGAGAATCGTTTGCTTCAGATTTATAAGTTCACGGACGTGGTGTTTGGTGTAGCCCATTTGAGTCGAGGTGTCTAGATCTAATTCAGAAGATTGAAGACTCCATCAATGTAAATGATGTCATAACTAACGCTGCTATTGTTTCTGAAGCATTTTCTCTTTATTAATATTCAAAAGATATCTTTGCTAAAGGAGGATTTAATTTGCGAAAGATTTTTAGTAATAATGTAGAAGTAGAGTCTAATTGACTCAGCAGAGCAAAGCAATGTTATTGAAGAAGTGAGCATGACACTTAATGCTCAGAGTACTTTAGGGAGAGTTAACTCTGCTCTGGGAAGTGAGCAGAAAGTTTTAGATGTCCTGTGGGATCCTATTACTGATGAGATCACCATTAATCACACTCTTCTTTGTAATGAAACAAAGACTTAAGCCAACTAAGCGTAAACTAGTCAGTGCGATCAGTAAGATATACAATAGGCCTATGGGGTTCATTTCTCCTGTTATTGTCAGATTTAAGATGCTTTTTCTAGGCTTTTGTTATCATAAGATTGAATGGGATGATTCTTTGCGTGAGCTACTATTGCTTAAATTGAAGCAACTCCTAACAGACCTTGAAGCCAAACCATTGGGACTGGCACAACACTGCACTACTAGTGATTTAGGTGGTAAAGCCAGATTTATGGGATTCTGTGATGCTTCATTGAAGGCCTATACAGCTGTAGTATATTTGGAGAATTGTAATAAAGAGATTGTACTAAAGACCACAAAGACAAGGGTCTCTCCTTTGATGAGTCAGACTATTCCCAGACTGGAACTCCTGGGAGCTGTCCTTTTGCATGGCAAATTTTTGTGCTAAGGCCAGCCTAAAGGCATTTGTATCTCATACTGTGTGTTTCAGAGATTGACTAATAGTATTACATTGGATCAAGGGACTGGACAAGCATTGGAAGCCTTTTGCCCAAAATAGAGTTACAGAGATAAGATGGATGTTGTGGTTGGAATCACTGTCAGGGAAAGATAAATCTCCTGACATAAGCCAAGCATACACTAGGCAACATTTTGCTGGCAACATTTGTGGTTACTTCGATCTTGTAAGCAACATGTTGCCAGAAATAGAACAGCCTTTTATTTCTGGCAACATATTGCTTACAAGATCAAAGTAACCACAGAGGCTGCAAGCAACATGTTGCCTGCTGTATGGAGGCATTTACCATCAAGGGGTGTGACTCTCAATGAGTTGTGTGAATCTCATCTGTGGTATCATGGTCCTCCATGGTTGGACAGCCATGTTACCATACCTGTCAAAGAGACAGAAGAGATCCTTCCTAAATGTATGGAGGAACTGAGAAGAAAAGTAGTGCCACACTGAGTGTAATGAAGAAGAGGAGTCATTGTTCCTATTGAGCATCTCAGTCCTTACGAGACTTTAGTTAATTGCACAGCATGTCTTATTGTTTGTAGGTAAACTCAAAGGAGTGTTGTGTTCAATGGTTGACTATAAGAGTAAAGCAGAAGTGCTGTGGCTCATTGAAGTTCAAAAGAATCGTATCAATGATGAATGGAGGACTCAGTTCATGACCTTCCTGGACAAATATGGACTTTATAGAAGTGGTGGGAGACAAGGGAATTTATATCTTTCTTACTAGGCTCGTCATCCTGCACTGTTGCCTCGAGACAATCCATTTACTGTGTTAGTGATGAGGATAGCTCATGAGAGTGATGCTCACTCTGGAGTTAAAGATACTCTCACTGACGTCAGGAACCAGTACTGGATCCTTCAAGGCAGATCATACGCAAGGCAGTACATTAATGAATGTGTCCTTTGTAGGAGATATGCTGTCTCTCACTACAGACTTCCTCCTGCACCACTGCCTAATTTTCATGTGAAGCAGAGTTTTCCGTTTTCTGTTGTGGGTGTCGACTTCACTGGTCCTCTTACTTATATTACAGCCTGAAGAGACTAATGTCTCTACCTAATTACCTGTCGTTGCCTTCTTCTGAAGAGTTTAGCCCAGATTCATCTCGACCTACCTAAACAAGGCATTTGAAGTATTTAAGTACTATTCTGGAGCATTTCTGGAGTCGCTGGAAGAAAGAATACTTACCTAAATTAAGAGTTACCCATTGACGCTGCCAGACCAGAGATACTAGTCCCATAGCTGTGGGGTGAAGCGCCTCGAGGAATGTGGAGACTAGGACTCATTCACAGAGTGATTAGAGGGAGAGACAAGCAAACTCGTGAAGCAGTTGTTCCAGTTAATTCTGGAACTGGTTCGTTTTGTTCCTAAAACATCCTATACAATGCCTGTATTTTCTGGAGATTCATTCTTGTAGTGATTCAGATAGTTCTTAAGGAGCTGATGATAGTTGCATTGCTTCAAGTTTGATACTCCAACAGATCCAGTTGATGTTGGGCCTACTCCCACTATTGAAGACACTGTTGCTAATGAATGGAACAATTTGGGTAACAAAGCACAGTCGTCATCAGAAAGACGTCGTAGAGCAGCAGCTGAAGTATGACATGGAGTCATTGCAAGCCTTTTGGACTAGTTTAATTAAATTGTAAGCAAAAATTGAGATTATTGATTAATGTTTTCTTTTTGTTATTATTATTTTCTTATTTTATTTCATTATTTCAGATATTGAATTGTAATGTACTAATCAATGGGGGTTGTGTGTGTGAGATTTTGAGTGATTTATTATATTCATTGTGATTAGTGATTATAAATTACTATTAATTATTAGTTCTCACTATTAATTATGAGTGTATTCTGTATATAAGAGAGTAATTTTTGTGAGCCATTTTGGCAGTGGGTTGAGTGTGTCAGTTATTGAGTCGTTGGGAGGTAGTGTGACTGTGGCACTATATATCTTTATTTGGTACTGTTGTTTGAACCAGTAAAGCTGATATCATTTGATTTGAAAGATTTTATTCAAACATTATTTGTTAAAATTGATAGTGAGCCAGGCAGTGGCAAGTTAGCTAAAGCATTCTGAGCTGAGCTGACTACTAAGGAACCAGCTATACAGACAGGATGGCATCCCCAAATCTGTATCATTTTACTACAAGGTAAGTGCTACTGAGCATGCCCACCTTTGATATGCGCACTCATTACTACACAACTATGTTGATAAAACCTTCTCCGTGGAATGCATTGCATTTGTATTTGTGGCATGCGTGTTATAACGTTTACTTGTAAAATGCTTTAAAATGCAAATTATCAAGCATTTCTGTACATATAATTAGATAGTGAAATTGTAACGGGTTCTGATATCAGGCAAAATAAACTAATGAATGTAAAAGAAGCACCTATTGACCACAGGCAGGATTGGCTATGCTTTCCTACATCAATCTAACTGGACAATTGGCAGAGCATCATCCCAGGCAATGATTTCATACTAATCATTCATGTGGTCTGGATTATTACGGATTAAAAATTAACAAGGTCCTGAAAGCTGTCATATGCAATTTATTACAAACAACATAAGGCAAGGTTGGTCAGACAGTTGCTGAAAGATTACAAAAAATAAATCTTTTAGATGAAGCTTTTCAGGGCAATTAAAGTACAATGTAGGCTCCATCACATGGCAGAAATCAATTTTGGTTCCGTCTAAAAGGTGAAGTCAAACAATGATTACTGAGTATGGCTTTCTAACACTATTTCTAACATGAAATTGTAGTATATACGATTCAGCTAATATAGCGTAATGTTTAAGGAAAGTGAATAATGCTCCACAATTATATATTGTTTCTAGATTGTGTATTGCGAATCCTGTTTCAGTATCGCGACAATTTTGATTGAAGTTTAAGGATTTATCTGGAGACGTGTTCCACACAGAGTAGAGCAATAATAGTATGTTAAAAACTGTCAAATGTGTGGAGCGCCTCTTTCTCAAATTTTCCAATGGTTTGAAAATGCGCATGTTGTTGGTATTTATTGTCCTGAAGAAGTGTTATTTAATACAAGATAGGATAACATGTGACATACCAGACTGTAACAGGCTTAAATTTTATGATAACAAAATACAAAATGAACAAGTGCAGCAAATACTGCAAACAAAATATTAAAGTCGGTAGAACTATTTATCTAGATGCCAATTTGATTTTCCTAGACCAGTACAAAAGTATTTGCATCAATGATGTTTAAAGTAGCTTAAATTCATGCAATAAAATATATTATTTGAAATGAAATAGTCAACAACTCCAGTCCTTTAATGATGAAATTGTGGCATGCAAATATGAACTTGCAGTACATAGCAGAGAGAAGTCTTTCTTTAACAGAGTATGTAATGGTATATGTTACTCTACAAATTCTAGCTAACTACAAATTTGATAAAAATAGAAAGATATGAAGAAAGAGAATACAATCTTGAATCAAAGCCTGTCCTTCCAAATCATAGTCAATTTAATCCTACGAAAGAAGCAGAAAGAGATGACTTTCATTATGTGATAATATTTTTAATTGCACCTTTTAGAAATAAAAGCACACTTGTAATGGAAGGAGAAACAATAGAGGAAGTTTTTAGCCATCAGAAAAGCATTTATACATGACATCAAAAGTCATTTTATCAAACTACAAAAATTATTAGGAGCTGTACCTAAGGTACTTCAGGCTGAACCCTCATTTTAGATTTCGCAACACAAATTGTTTTTTTATAGATTTTCTACAGTATATACTTTTTTCAATTTAATTAATAGTGACATGCAATAAACTTTAACAAACATTTTAAAATGGATTAAAACTAAGTGAACAATTCTTTAACATGATGCAAGTGTAGTAATATGTGACTATAACTGACAAAAGGTACTCCTACCCACCATAAGGTAGCGATTGTCAATTATGATCACATGGTTGTTCTTATAAGATTGTTTTCTATTAAAGTATGTTCCATCTCTTGGCAAAAGTTATTAAAGTTTTGCAAAATGGGCTGCAGTCTTTCATAGAATTTTGTCGGCTTTAAAACATCAGTGTATTGAGAAAGCATTTACTGCATACAAGCTTGGAGTATTTGCCTTCATTATGCTATGATTGCAAGCTTTAAAGCATCTTAGAACCTGCATTCACCAGATGA